CCATCAGCACATAGCCTTTTGGGGTTTTTTATATCTCACCGGGGTCTATCTAATACACATGCTCCGAACTTGAAAGCGGCTTGACAGTACAGACCGTTCCAATTGTAAGTTGTGGACGTGGATCTACAGTAACACGACCACATTTTTGTCGTTTGATAATGATTTTAATGTTTAAACTCGACTTGTTTGTAAAATACGTAAATTTTGTTTTACAACCGCTTTTTTCGAGCACGACGCTTTGAAAGCATTCTTCGAAATTTCTTATTTATGATTATAGAGCAGAATTTTCTCTTTGAAATGAGATCTCTTTCGGGTCTCTTCCATTTTGTCGATGACGAACTGTACTCGGTTTACTAAAGTGTGGTTAAATAATTTTTGAAAGCCATAAAAATATTTAAAAAATGACCTTATTCAAAAACTTGTGAAGTATACTACCTAAAAATCCAAGATTTACAATCCCTTTCATATATGAAAAGATGCAGTCAGTCATTGGCTACAAAACGGTGAAAACCGCAGGACTGTACCTGTTTTCCTTCAAGAGAGCTATTCAAAAAATATCCGAGTTTCCCGACTTTTTTTTCACATAATATTATTAAGATTAGAATTTCTTTCCGAATAATCAAATCGTTGAAACAGATTGTCCCTAAAAGCATATACAACCAAAGAGTTTTCTTATCATTTGAATCAATTTGTATAAGAACCTTTCACAAACCGCTGCTTGGCCATCTTTCTTGCTAAGAACATTCAGAGACTGGAATGTCCTTCCAAGGACAATTAAATCTTCGTTAAAGGTCACTTAGACAAATTTTTCAGTAAATTCTTTTTTTCAGCAAATTCTTTTTTTCAGCAAATTCTTCAGTAAATAAATATTTCTTCTTCTTATTATTATTATCATTTATAATAGCTGTAATAAGTCCAATTCGTTGTTCTGATGAAGAAAATATAAATCTAATACAGGCATCACTGCCTTGTCGACCAAAGTGGATAACAATGTAGAATATCGTACGTTTTTAATATAAGCAGCATCATGCAATGTTGTTGATTGTAGAAATATTTTAATTATATCTGTAACATCATTCACATGTTGTTGATTAATATGATAATCATCAGAAAATTTATTATAATTAAGATTTGTTGTCTTTGATAAACGTATATTAAAACCATCACTAATTATAAAGCTTTTTCGATTCATTAATTGTTGAATAAGATTAAACAATTTTAATGGAAAATCTGGTGATTGTGTATGATGTATTGCTTCACGAAAATAATATAAATCATGGATTATTTGATGTTCAAAATGTGTTGTTCCATGAGCCATTTTCATTGATAACCCTGCAATATTTTCAAAATTAAATGTACCATATTGGTACGTTGGACCCTAAACCAAAACAAATATAACTTATAAGAATCAGTCAATTTTCTGAAACAATTCATACATTAAAAAACGTAACATACCATACGTCTTAAACTTTCGTGTATATGCAAAAGAGAATGGACATTTGATGACATAAATCGTAATGAGTATAGATGTTCAAATTCTTTAACAAATTCTTTAAATAAATTTTTAACAGATTCGATTGTTTGTTTGTTAACATATTTACTGTCTGCCTTGTAGTATGACGGTTCGAATGAGCTAACACTACATAAGATTCAAAAATGTTTTTTAAAAATTTCAAAAAGTTCTTGTTTTTTTGGATTGCACTAGCATAGCTAGAACTTGAGCTTTGAGGAAAGCGACAAACTGCAGAACTTTTCTGATCAGACACAAATACTTGAAAATCGTACGCACGTTCAAAAGTATCCCGAAGAGTGTAATGTTTTGAGATATCATGATGTACCACTACTTCTACTGGCATTGATTCTTGGAGAAGATTATAGCGATAACAGCAGCTTTAAACATCATATATTTATTTCAATCTTAACGTCAATGTTTCACTGTTTCGAACAGCATGTCTAAGATATAGTATAAAAATGAATCTGATAAGATTCTTATAGAATAAAAAGCAACAGTATATTTTTCACTGAAATATTTCAGTGGTAAGACTGTAACGTAGCTTCTGTTAATAATCCAACACTGTGGATGATGAAAAAGAACTCTGTGCAGAAAAAAACTATTATCCTTATCAAACAGCGGTTACACTACATGTGTACCTCTATTCGTTGAATATAGTTTTCTGAACTATAGACGTAAACCTCATTCTGAGTTTCTTTAATTAAATACGCACTCATACCTCACAAGTTAAGTAAATGTATCCGACTGCCAAAATGCCGACCCGCACCTGACCCGACCCAACAACAACTTAACCCGAACCCGACCCGACCCGATGAAAACAATCTCACCAGAAAACTGTGTTTGAGAAAGAATATAGACTTGCCTCGTTAGACAAAAGTTTTTCGATGCATATTGTAGAATCTCATATTTCAAAAAAAAATTTTTGAACGACGTCTGATTGGTCATTTTGTCTAAAAGGTTAATTCCTCAGCACACTTTGTCAATAGATTATCTTAACCGAGATGATGACCACATCCCTTTTCTCATTGGTCAGTCAGTATCACCTAATACTAAGATAGAAAGTAGAGAGCATTATAGTAAAGTCTTCTATGTACGGGTGTTTAAAACAGTAAGAGATGTATTGCCATTGATTTCAGTGCAGGAAGCATTCTCTTATGTGCAAACTTTGCACATAAGAGAATGCTTGTCGATTAATGATTGCTTTCGGAAAGCAATCATTAACCGACTTAGTGAATGCAGTTGTTCTGAAACAAGTCTTTCAACTGCAAATCCCAGTAGAGATAACTTTCAACCAGTAATACAAAGCTAAAAATATTATTTATATTTTAAATTGCGTCGCCAAATATTCAACCCGAATCCGACCCGACAGCATCCTAACCCGACCGTCGGGTTGCAGGTCTCTCAGAGCTGGGCAAGTACGGGATTTCTCAAGTACGAGTCGAGTACGAGTACCGATGCTTCGAGTAGGAGTCGAGTACAAGTACAAATACAAGCACCAATTTTTTAAGTACAGATACCATTGAACCAGGTATGACTATGAATGTCTAAAATAATTTGTGGGAAAAAGAGTCCTATAGCTCTTTAGTTATTCTCTTAATTAGTCTCTTATTATTTGATATATATCAGAACAAAGTATTGACAAAGCGAAATGTTAAAACATTTTTTGAATTTATTGTATTATCAATCTTCAAGCAAATGGAATCAAAGTAAAACTTTGTTACATTTTAGAAGAGTTAGTAGACACACTTTCTTTGCCGTTAATGATGCTCGATGTGGTCTTATCAGAAAACCACTTTGCGAGAAAACGCGTTCGATAGAGGCCGATGTCGCAGCCACCGTTAGATATTTTAGAGGAAGTTGATATAATCCTGGATAGATGTGCCTTTTAGAAAAAAGTAAATCTTCTTCACGACTTTCTTCGCATAAATAACACACACACTTCATCTGGAATTTCAAATATTAGATTATCGAGTACTGACCACCTGAATACAAGTACAAGTACAAGTATCAGTCCCTCGAGTACGAGTACGAGTACGACAAAATCGTACTCGAGTACGAGTACTTCGAGTATTTTGTCCAGCTCTGAGGTCTCTACTGTACAGTTAGATTGAGAAAAAGTGAAGAAGGCCCTTGTTTATATACTAGAGGAATACAGATCACATTTTACATATAGAATATAGATCACGCGATACATATACAATACAGAAGATCATTCTAGAGAGAAGAAGAAAAATATTAGTATATCGATGGTCACCTTGATAACAAAGCGAAAAAGAGACTTTAAGAAAGGTCATTTTTTCCTATTTTTCGGTCGTCTTAGCGATAACAAGTATTCCCTAGTTTTTCTGGTAAAAACAGTAGCAGATTTATTTGTAAGTTACACAGTCTAATAGAGCGAAAGATTCTGCATTTTGGAATCGCATTTTGGGAGGTGTTATAAAGCGGAAGAAATTGAAGAAGACTTTTGTTTTCTTACGTTACATTCGCCGTTTTGGAATACACAAAGGTGAAATGTCACGTTCATATCTTATTCGAAAGTGAATTGTTATGTTTGATCTATACGGCTTGACCAGCTGTCGGTCCACCTTCGGATGAGAAGGTTCGAATTTTTGTTTTAACCTAAGCAAGCTTAAAAAGCTTAAAAATACATCATTAAACGTAGTTTTTCAGGGTAATTACAAATCTGGACTCAAAAACAAGTGAAAGCCAAATCTTCGTGGAGAAAGTTTAATTTCCTGACCTAGATATTTTTTCCACAAATTCTGAAAACTATACCGTCGGATAGAGAATCAAATCCTCTACCAAAGGGTTCATTTATTTTGACGTTTAGATGACAAAATTTTTTTTTTCTAAAAAACGTTTTAGCGCTTATTTTGTGAGCAATTTTAGAACTCCCTTATAACCATTTAGTATAAATTTCATGTATAAATGTTGCTTTTTTGCCGAGATAAAGGGCACAGAAGACGAAAAAGTGAAATTCCGTACATTTGGCCAAGTCGTATAGGAGATAATGTAAGTCATTGCTAAAGGAAATAAAGCAGAGCAAAAACGGCAGATTATTTTTTTTATTAATTAAACATGTTCTTCTCTGTGACTGTCTTTGTTTTCCTGTACTATAAACGCAAACACTACTCTCGTATTCCACATGAATATGAAGATGCAAGACCGCGAAAGAAAATATTTTCCGTTTTACCATATCCGTGAGTTTAAGTTCATACAAGCATCGCAAGATGAATTCTTCCCTTAACTCATAAGACAGCGATATTCTGCAAGAATTTTATCTTGGATTTTATTAGGCATGCACCAAACCGATAGTTCGGTCACCGAACGGTTCGCTACTAAATATGTTCGCTGCCGATCAGCGAGCTCTAGCTCGGGATGGTTGCATGCCTGATCTGGACTAAAGGTAAATTACATGAAATTGAAGCTTTTGAAGGAACTAACCAGTGAGAAAATAGATTAACTAAAGCACAATGTGAGCGAATGTGTCTTCTACCGGATCGCTACCGAACGTGTCCGGACAAAGATTGCAAATACGACAGTTTATATTTTTCTCATCAGAGACATCGACGATTGCTCTGCTGACAAACTATTAGGACAAAGTGCCATAAACCTTATAAAGATACATTCGAATTAGAGCTGCAATTGTCCGTCTACTTTTTTTTTGCACAATGAGGAAAACCATTTTTTGCATGAAAACAAAGTAAATCAATCTGCTATACAGAGGCCATGTTAGTAAGTAATTAGAGAGTAAATCAGATACAATGGACACTAAAGGTACTTTCAACTTCCTAGAATAAAGCAAACATAAATTTGCTGCTCTGATTCAAACTTTTATTTAAACGTTTTATTGAAAGAAAGAGAAAAATAAATGCCATTTAAACTTTTCTTTACATGACTACCTACGGCTACGGCGTAATCAAGGCTGCTTCTACGTTTGGTGTAATCATCACCATTTTTTCTGTTTTTTTTACAAAGATTTCTTTCATGTGTTTCTTTGTTCTCAAGTTCTTAGCTTTGACAAACTATTTTTTTTTAAACCTTTGGTAGCGATCCGGTAGAAGACACATTCGCTCACATTGTGCTTTAGTTAATCTATTTTCTCACTGGTTAGTTCCTTCAAAAGCTTCAATTTTATGCAATTTGCGTTTTGCCCAGATCAGGCATGCAACAATCCTAAGCTAGGGCTCGCTGATCGGCAGCGAACATGTTCAGTAGCGAAATGTTTGGTGCCGATTAGCGATTCCTAGTTTGGGATTGTAGCATGCCTAGATTTTAGGTCCGGTTTTGCTTTTATCTTTATTTATGATAGTTTCTTAGGAATTCGTATAATTCGTATTCGTTCATCCAAATAACATTCATGTTATGCTTCTCGATGAAATGAAAAGAAATATGTACACAAAAACGTCCATCGGTTTCTATATTAATAAACATCTAGCAAAAATGGAGATATCTCTTCTCGCACATGCACGACGTATATCTTGATAAATGTTCTCTTTTTCTCTTTCATTGTGTGAAGGAATAGGAAAAGGTTGTTTTCATTCATCATTTTATTCTTTCAACACTTTTTTAAAGACACAGTGGAGAAATTGATGAAACAAGCTATAAATGTGCTTGTGGTCTGATTCATTTTCGATTCAGATGAGTCTTGGACTGCGCGTTACTGTCCTCACTTATCAATCAGTATAAGACAATTAGTTACCACAGAAAATCTGATGAGAAGACAATCTGAAATAACCTGAATTCGACCTGCATTGTTTACTTATCAACAGTTATTTTTAACTTTTGCAGAAGAGATACAATATTGCACTTTTACACTTTGCAGCGTATACAGAACAGGAAAGAACAGGGGAGAGACCGTTTGTTTTTTCTCGTTCTTCTATGTCACATCAATGGCAATATTTACACACGCATATCTTGTACTTGAAGTCTATTATCACTTCGAATATATTTGAGTCAGATACGTGGCTGAAATATACAGGTACGTACAGATTAA